TAATAACTGATGAAACCCGTTCTTGAAGATGGTTTATAATACATTTAATAATGTATAATATTCATAGATGATGCCTGCAGCGTTTACTGATTCTTGGTCAATATTCAATTATACTTCATAAGAGTTATTAACGTGAGAGATGAGTTGTATAATTAAACAATGCATTGTGAACTAAGCATAATTTATTAAAAAGTTTGTCTTGATTAATAATTTAAAAGAAGGTAGAAAATCTTTATTGAATATTGTATGAATAAATAATTACTCAATAAATTCTTGGAGTAGGTGGGTAGTTTCGGTGCATAAAGGGAATTAGATTCATCATTTGTGGTACTAGCCTAGTCTTTTCCCAGCCTAGACCAATTGGAAACCTTTTGTGACACTTTAAACCACATTCCAGGTGCGTATGTTGAAACCAGGCGATCTTATGTGCTATGGGCTCTCGTTGTTATCTTTAATGCTGCTACAGACTTACTTAGAATGATAATATAGCCAGAAGATAAATTGACAAGGCAAGAAGCAGAACATTTTCTATGAAAGCTTCCGAATAAGAGAAAACGAACTTTAGCCTGGCAAACAATTATAAATTCATTTCATAAATCTCAAGTGATTAGAGTTGATATTTAGCAGCCTTTATCTCTATAGATAAAACAGTTATATAAAGGATAGGAAAGAGTGAAGTTCATTCGGCTAATCGGTGGTGCGGTAATCTAATTAGCTTTACGGGAAGTGGATGTTGTGTGAATGTGTATTTTATTGTTGTAAAGAGTTGGTGTGGTTGTCAGTGATTAACAACAGTGTACTGTATCTCTACTTATTACAGCAATAAAGTTATCTCGGTAGTAGAGTTGGGTTCGATCTCGACTAAGAACTGGGAATCCCGGGTTCGGATCCCGGGCGGGACAGAAATGGGTGGGCGCGTTTTCTATCACCTAATGCCTCTGCTCACCTAGCAGTAACAAGATACCCGGGCAAATGTTGTTAGGTTGCATCCTTGAGAGGGTCAATAGCCCTACCTTGGGCGATGGGGGGGAAAGCCATGATATGAGCCTAATATATATATGTAATCCTATGCATATATAATCCTATACCCTTCGAAATTTGTAGATTAGTAACTCTGGCATGATTATTACATTACAATGTTAAAGACACACACACACACACACAATACCTTCCTGGGCATATACAGCCTCAGGGGGGGAACATTGTACCTAAACTGATTGAATTTATATCTCTGCAATCTGAGGCACCAAGTCATCGTTACTGGCAGTGTTAACACCAGCCTTCCAACATGGCGTAAAGGCACGCCGAACACAGCAGGTTGAGGACCTACACACACACCACTATACATCCTCTTCTCACCTTTGCGTACTTTACCAAGCCACACAATCTACTTGAGAATGGTCCAGGACGGACCGAAACGTCGTCGTCCCTTCACTTTCTAGTGTGGTTTGGTCAACATTTATCAAACCAGCTGTGAGTACCCCTCAACATGTCTTGGGGTTACTCCATAAACACCATGAAATGTTGCCATAAACACCATGAAATGTTGCCATAAACACCATGAAATGTTGCCATAAACACCATGAAATGTTGCCATAAACACCATGAAATGTTGCCATAAACACCATGAAATGTTGCCATAAACACCATCAAATGTTGCCATAATGAGTTTGCTTATGGTCGACTAGTGCTGCACGCAGCCTGATGCAGTTAAACAGGTACCTTTTCGAGATGTTTATCAAGTTCGTTCTTGAACATGGTTTGATTTTTATTAATAATGCCCCTCGTTCATAGAGGGAGTTAAAAAGCCTTGGACCCTTAATGTTTTTTTTTATAAAAGTACTTATTACACCTTAATTTTCAATGGGGCTATTTTGCAGTCTACCCTGCCTATTAGTCTTGTAAGAAATCATTTTAGTGTACAGACTGGATGCAGTCATCCAGTCTGTACTGGATGACTATCTAATATCATCCTGTTATAGAATATTATGTATCTCTCGTGTACACTCCAGGAGGTATAAATTGAGGAATTTATGGATGGAAATGATCAGAGTCCACAATTTTACGTTAATTCACTCAGAATGTTGAACCAGGAATCGTGTTCCTAGATTCCTAACACACGGTATACTTAGCGATATGGTGACGGTGACTCTTACGATCGCAAATGACCACGGATCACATACTCCAGTCCTGATGCACCTGTAGACGAACACATGTGGAGTAGAGTCACTCTTCTGTGTATAACTGCCCGAAACGCTTTGCGTAATAGTGGCTTTAGGCATTGTATGTACTAGCTCTTATCTATAAAGCCAACAAACTTTGTAAAATCTCTTTATGTATGTACCTTTGCCTAAATAAAAATTATTATTATTATTATTGTTATTATATTATTAATAGTGGCTTTAGGCATTGTATGTACTAGCTATATCTATAAATCTATAAATTTTGTATCTCACCTTGCATGTATGTACTCTACCTGAATAAATATTTGTATTTTGTATTTGTATTTGTATCTTCGATAATATAACTATTCGCGCCGAGCGGGTACCGGATTCTGTGACGGTAACGCGTAGACGGGAATAGATATACTTGAGCTGTTGAACTTTGCGTTTAGATGGTAAATTACCCTGAACTTGGCCGAAATCAGGACAACGCGTCTTAACAGCACGGGATTGCTCCTCAAAATGTTCGAATTTGTAGCAGGGCTCGCAGGACGGTGTCCCCTTGTCTTTCAAGACAGCCAATCAGGTGTTAGCGTTTTGGAGGCCCAGGAGTGCCTCGACCAATAAGAATCCCCTGACACTGTGACGTCACCACTTGCCGGTTATGTTTACACTAAGGCCAGGAAAAACCGTAAGGGATACTAACCTACTGCCACCCAGATCCACGCTGTCTCTGAGCAGCCGCTTAATTTCATGCTAATACTGTAACTATTTTCTCAGTAATGCTACGGCGGACACCAAAAGTTTTCCGGACAGCTGAAGGTGTCTGCATTTCAAAGACACCTAATTTCGGTCTTCTAGTAAACTAATTCATGAGGACTGGGGTTCAGTGGAAGGTTTCCCAGAGTAAAAGGCAGGTATGGTGATTGTTGTTTTAGATTTAGCTACTCAGAACGAAATGTCCTTGTAGCACGGGCTATAATGAGCCCGTAATTGAGTTCGGTTACTCGCGATAACCTTGTTACTGTGATATTTGAGTCAAAGTTTTAAATGGAGGTGGGGTTTCCTCCGGCTTCTTTTCCGCTTCTGTTTTACCGAACTGGTTTTAGTCTTGTTTTAATAACATTATCTTGATGGCGGATATATAGAGGCACAGTGTTCACTAGTGTTTCCCATTCTTCAACGGCTTTTCTAATCATTGTAGTCGCTGTGGAATGTGCATCTAATGCAGCTGCTCTCGTTAGATTAATGTTGAGTTTGATGCGCAGGACTTCAGTTGCTTCACATTCCAGTAAGTAGTGCAATTGTGGCACTTCTGCTTCTGTTCCACAGATATGACACTCTTTAATTATTGGGTTTATTACCTCCAAGCAACACTTGTAATGAAGTCTGAGTCTGTGTATGGCTACTGCAATGTCTGTGGATATCTTTTCGCCAGGCTTAAAAGAGGAGTACCCAGTGGCTTGTTCGTAACACATCGCAGTGAAGGCAGGAAGATGTATACCGGTGTTTATAGTAAAGGCAGGAATGAGAGAGATGTAATATTTGGCAGCAATATGTATAATTTTATTGTCTTAAAACATTTATCTTATTAAATACATCTTTGTATATGCAGATTACGTGGTTGTGATGACCACACACTAGAAGATGAAGAGACGACGACGTTTCGGTCCGTCCTGGACCATTATCAAGTCGATTATCACAATCGACTTGATAATGGTCCACGTCAGACGAAACGTCGTCGTCTCTCATCTTAAAGTGTATTGTTTGGTCATCATATCTTCAGCCACGTTATTGTGACTCGTCGTCTGATTAAGCAGTTCTTAATCGTGTAGAGAGCGACGAAGCATAGGGTGAGGTCATAGCTGTCTTAACTTCAGCTAATGCTAGTCTACCGGGCAACCCGTCCTCACACTAGGCTGTTTACAGCAGCGGCCGTCCTCCCCAGACGCATTCATCACTTTTAACATAATGTGTTTTAAAAAATGGTTTGTTCTCATATATAAATTAATATTATACATAAAAATTCTATGTATAATAAGGTTAGGTGTTTAGGTTCTGTTGGTGATTATTTGTATTTGAAGTCCTTGGGTGAAACATATCAGCTCGTCCTCCAAACAAAGACCCAAAAGTGATTCCACGCACTCGCCAAACCCCCTGTTTAAGAATGAAAAACTGTTTACAGACGACTCACAACTGCTGACGTTCGAACACTTCCGGAACAAGTGCTTCACTGACGAATTTTGTTCGAACCACAACGCTGTAAATGCTTCTAACACGTACTCAGCCCGTCCTCCAAACAAAGATCCAAAAGTGATTCCATGCACCCGCCAAACCCCCTGTTTATGAATGAAAAGTGGTTTACACACGACTCACAACTGCTGACGTTCGAACATATCCGGAACAAGTGATTCACTGACGAATTTTGTTCGAATCACAACGCTATAAATGCTTCACCCACGTACTACAAATACAAATAATCGCCAACAGAACCTAAACACCTAACCTAACCTATCCTATGCCTATATATACACAATATGCTAATATATTATAATATTAATTTATACTTGAGAAAATTCCCGTTTTGAATGAACAGCATGTTAAAATTTATGAATGCGTCTGTGGGGTTGACCGCTGAATGTAATGGACTTGAGTCGAGGACGGGTTGCACGTACTACAAATACAAATGATCGCCATGCCCAGACTGCTAAACAGAACCTAAACACCTAACCTAACCTATATATGCACAATATGCTAATATATTATAATATTAATTCATATTTGAGAAAATTTACGTTTTAAATGAACAGCATGTAAAAGTTTACGAATGCGTCTGTGGGGTCGACCGCTGGATGTAATGGACTTGAGTCGAGGACTGGTTGGTGTAAACCGCTTTTCATTCATAAACGGGGGTTTGGCGGCTGGATTAACGAGCTTGGATCTTTGCATGCGAGGACGGGCTGCTACTGGGTCTGCTATCTTCCCTTTGTATCAAAGGAGAGCCGTTAAACAATTGTATTCTCGATGTTGAATTCACTTTAATGTTAATGACTAGTATCAGCTCTCCAGGGAATATGACCTCAAGTGTTCGTACCTTCCTTCGGCCACTGGTGCATGTGAATGGATATGAGAACTAGTTCACGAGGACTGCGGTTCACTGGCCTCAGAACATGCGAAAATAGGCCTCTGAACCTGGTTATTTTCAAACTTGGCCAAAATATAGTCATTCTGAAACACACCAAACCATTTTGACACAAAAGCTATCTACCAGTTCAAATGCGGTCTGAATTTTGATACTGGTAAATCCTGGTTTTCGTATATTCCCATGGCCTGAAGTACACACCCTCATACCGAAACTCACAGAGCATCATGTTCTTTTTGTTCACATCAATCTTTTAAAAAATGTACCTGGTATGGCTAGAGCGACAGAGATGTGACTCCATAGACGGAAAAGTGTCGCTGGCCAACTGATGGTTTAAAATCCAATCAGTTTTATTATAATCAAATTATCTCCCATAACTTGTATAGTAAAAGGCATTTATCCACTTTCAAATAAAACATAATAGCTATTACCACAGTACATGCTAATTATACATAATCTATTAAGCCCTCTTCTTTAAATGGTTAATAATATCTTGGAAGACAATTGTGTATGTGTCATCAGAAGGAACCATACCATCAAGGTAGATTATACCGTCGAGCTTGTTGACATACTGCCGGTGCTGCTCATACTCGGGCCAGACACACTGGTGGAAGTATCCCGGGGGGTCCGGGGGCTCGTACTGACGGCGCTGACGGCGTTCCCAGCACTGCTCCCGGGTCAGGGTCAGGAAGTACCGCAGGTCACACACCTCCCATACCTCAGGATGAGAAAACAACAGGAACCCGTCAATAACAAGCACTGGTCGACCACCTGCTGAATCAAGATTACTTGACGTCCCTTCCCCTCTTGAGACGAGCTCAAGCGTGGTGGGTGCCTTTAACTGTGATGGCGGAGATCGTACAATATCGCGGACATCTTTCAACATTGTGTCTACGTCAATGCTGGTAATAACTTCCCAGTTATGGTGGTTAAGGCCGGCCGGCGCTGGTATGTGGTGAGAGGATCCCTCAGGGTAGAAGTAGTAGTCCTGGTTGAGGAGTGTGGATGGTGAAGGGAGTGTATGGTGGAGGCGGCGAGCCAGAGTCGACTTCCCACTGCACGTCACCCCAGAGATTCCCACTACCAGCCACTCGACCATCACTACTACTTTACTTCCAACAATTACAGGTCACTGTAACATCCAGAAATTTGTATAAATCAACATAGGATATATATATTCTATGTTGTATATTTATTTATATTTGTATAAATCGACATAGGATATATATAAATATGCACCAATGATCGTCTATAAGGATTGGTCAGTCTTGGTGCTTATTAACTAAGCTCCCTGACTGATCAACCCCCGACGACACTCATGGATCCATTTGGGTTCAGTTTTTCATCAAATTCTAGCGCATGCACGGGCCACACTGAGTTCAACATGTGTGAGAAAGCTGCATGAACGCGCAAGCTATAGATCACTAAGAACTCTTTGACCCGGCCAGGATTCGAACCCATGCCGCCTAGGATCACCCCTAAACGTACACAGTACCGTGACCAATGTTGAACTCAGTGCGGCCCGTGCATGCGCCAGAATTTGATGAAAAACTGTACCCAAATGGATATATATATATATATATATATATATATATATATATATATATATATATATATATATATATATATATATATATATATATATATATATATAAATATATATAATATATATAATATTGATCAAGGCAAGGTACTTATGGGGTGCCAAGTCAGTGTGACTATACATTACTTGAAATGGACACGGAGTGGAAGATACCGCATCTGTACTTGTTGGACCATTGGGGACCAAACGTATAAATAGTTAGTATAAAGCGTATAACCTGTATAAAGCGAGGCCGTCGCTGTATCGACCAGCCTAAGTGGATAAAATGTTGCTTATTCAGAATACAAAATAATGCTATCCTACAGTAAAACTAATAAACCTTAAAATTACACGTTAAAGACCTACCCCTAATAACCAGGAATATCTAATATTTTGTTTTAAATCAACATGAAATTAGTGAAGTGACATTGAGGCAGCAGTCACTAAACAATAAATTTGAAGTTTTTTTTAATATTTATCGGTCATAATTTTAATGCGCCAGGTTCGATTCCTGCAGCAGGACAGAAGAGTTTGGGTACCGTCTTCTTTCATCAGGTGCCCCTGTTCACCTAGCAATACACAGGTACTCTATAGTTAGGCAACGGTTGTGGGGTTGCATCCTGGGGCATACACTCACTCCAGAGACAAAATGGTAGTGAATCAATGCATTTTTAGACGCATCATGTGGAAAGGCGCGGCCCCAGGGGCTAAAGCAATCATGGAAACCGTGCTAGGTGAGCACATTTGTACACACATTATCACTACGCTAGCCTAGAGTGCTACAATGAGCAGCTTATTATGTCCAACTACTAGGCTCCAATGGCCCTGAGGCAGGCAGTCCCTCGCCTGAGGTAGAAAGTACGTATAATGATGATGACCAGACCACACACTAGAAGGTGAAGGGACAACGACGTTTCGGTCCGTCCTGGACCATTCTCAAGTCGATCGACTTGAGAATGGTCCAGGACGGACCGAAACGTGGTCGTCCCTTCACCTTCTAGTGTGTGGTCTGGTCATCATACTTTATCCACCTTATTGTGACTCATCGCCTGCACATATAATGATATTTTATCCACCACCATTAACTTAATTGAAGAGGCTTCTGTCACTTGCCTCGTCAGTTCCAAGTAGCGTTACAGTGGTACGCCAGTGACAGTTGTAGATTATTTATAATGCTATTTGCCACTCTCACACTCAAGTCACATGACTAAGTGATGCTATCAGTTATCATTTATCAACGTTGCTGTCTGTGAAGTCACATTACTGGTAATAAAGGCCACACTCCGTACCATTAGAGTGGGTTTCAATACAGCCAGCCTCAGTTCACACATAAGTACAAAGTAGGAACCATGACTGACCGCCCAGGAGCACCGCGCGCAGCCTCCTCGCCTCTCAGAGTCGCACTGACCCCCGCGCGGCGCCTGGCCTGGTGAACACCACCCTGTCCTCAGGCTAGGCTCACACCCCCCCTAATGTTCATCACCCCTGATGTTGAACACTAGGGGTCACATTCCCAAGTGACCCGGGTTCATTCCCCACTCACAACAGCTGGTGTTCACTCCTCAGTGTTGAACACATGCTCATTTATCGCTCACAACCACCAGTGGGTTACTTATCTACTCGTTTGAGTACAACTCTCTCTCTCTAACACTATGTGCATCATATTTGTATATTAGGACAAGTTAATAAATTAAATCTTGACTACATAATGCTATATAATTATACCTGCTTGGCGCTTTCTTTTGAGAATTAATGTAAACGGAACATTGGCCCATCTGAGGCAGCTTCTATTTAGATTTACCCAAACTCATTCATATATTTGTCTAACCTACGCTTGATACCAGTTTTATGTTACCATGGAGCCGGTCGGCCGAGCGGACAGCACACTAGACTTGTGATCCTGTGGTCCTGGGTTCGATCCCAGGCGCCGGCGAGAAACAATGGGCAGAGTTTCTTTCACCCTATGTCCCTGTTACCTAGCAGTAAAATAGGTACCTGGGTGTTAGTCAGCTGTCACGGGCTGCTTCCTGGGGGTGGAGGCCTGGTCGAAGACCGGGCCGCGGGGACACTAAAAGCCCCGAAATCATCTCTAGATAACCAGGTAATTTAATGCAGTTTTCAGGACTACTGTATTTGTTGAACGGTTCTTACTTTGTGAAAGCTGGCTGGCATCTTAAACCTGTGTAGCTAGGCTTCATTATTTAGTCTGCTAACTAATTAGGATACATAATAGAATCGTATATTACTTTGGCTAGTTACAGTAATGGGAAAAAGATGAATAAATTATACGCGTCATTCGTGTTCGTCATTATACAATTATACGCTAATAATGTAGTGTGAAATGTTAATAAATAGCTCAGCTGCATTTTGGTACCGATATTTTCGATTAGATCCAGCGTAATAATAATAATAATAATAATAATAATTAGACGATGGTGAGGCTGGGAACAGTATAAGAAGTATGATCTGAGCATAATTTTACCACTCTACATCATTGCTACTTTTGAACAATATATAACTGAACCCAACCCAGCCTAACCTATGCAAAATGAAATCACATTAACGTGACGTATGAATGAGATAATCAGTTGGATCCATGAGGACGATACTTGGGAGTGTCAGGTGTACTGGTTCAAATCTCTTGATGATTCTTATGGATTTTCCCAGCCTAACCTAACATATCCAACCCTAACTTAACCAACAAAAGTGAAACAAAATATATTGTTTTATACATTGTATATGACGTCCTTTTGACATTATAACTGTATCCGGACTCAGGTTTTAGATTCTATTGGGCGGGGAAAGTAGTGTGAGGAGCCATGAGTTATACATCTGTAATCAGTGATAATTCATATCATTTGGGCGCTAAGCTGCCACTGGTATTGTGGGAGTGATAGCCTATTCTGCTCTTCTTATCTTACTTCACATTATAATTACGCTCAGGTTTGTATTTTGTTCACGTGTGAAGACAGGAGCACACACAGAGGTGGAGGGAAGCATAAGCAGACGACACGCTAACATATTACAAGATGCCAAGCTGTACTAACGATGGAGGTGCCCAGCACTCCCCGACCAGGAATCACAATGATGAACGTAAGTATTCGGGTGTTCGTATAGTATATATTGATGCCGGACCTGTCGTGTATTTAGCTAATTGATGCATTGATTACATTTTCTCGCAAGATATTTAGTCTTTTTTTCCGCGGGTGTCTTGGCGCAGTTAGACACCAAAAGCAGTAGACAACATGGGTACTGATATGCTTGACTCGCGGTACATTATGGGAGGTAAACCAACTCAATTGAAAATTGAATGACGTTATTATCACAGCCTCCCAGACCTCGTAAGATCGTGCAAGACCTTAATAAGGATTCCTGAGACCTGGAACAACGCGTACTTTACAACCGAGTCATGGTTCCATATACACACAGCTAGGCTACTACACACAGTCTGTCATTATTATTATAAAATATTAAAATATACAACGAAGTAGATATGTTATATGATGGGTTATGAGGCACAGTAGTCTACGTCCTCGGCTCACAACCAAGTGACCCGGGTTCATTCCCTAGGCAGGACAGAAACGGTTGGGCATGTTCTCTTTCAGCTGGTGCCTCTATTCTCCTAACAATAAAATATGTGCCCGGGAGCTAGGCTGTAATCCCGGGAAAGGTGAGTAGTTGGGCCTAGGCCCTGGCAGGGGTTATCTTGAGATGATTTTGGGGCTTTAGTGTCCCCGCGGCCCGGTCCTCGACCAGGCCTCCACCCCCAGGAAGCAGCCCGTGACAGCTGACTAACACCCAGGTACCTATTTTACTGCTAGGTAACAGGGGCATAGGGTGAAAGAAACTCTGCCCATTGTTTCTCGCCGGCGCCTGGGATCGAACCCGGGACCACAGGATCACAAGTCCAGTGTGCTGCCCGCTCGCCCGACCGGCTGAGGGGGTCCCTAACTCCTCAGCTCATCGACCTCTTCATAAAACTTCAGCTTATTCATCATAGACTTGCTATATGAACATAATCTAATAAATACTGCTTTAGTTAATAGTACTACAAATAATAATAATGATTTATTATTTCATATATAATGATTAAAATAGGACAAATTCAAGATTTAACAAAGCTTTCTGTACTGAAATAGTTTATATCATTAACGAGGAGGTGAATGATAATTGTTGAAGATTATGACACCCAAGAGGTAGGTGGCATGGGCATGAGTAGCCCGTAACCGATGAAGACTACATCTGGTGGCCGACAAAGGCTGATATTGGGTTGGAGATCTGGGGAGTTTTAGACCTAAGTTGCCACGCTGCTCTTCTAAGTTTAGTCAGTTCCCTCGTTTCTCTAGAATTGCACTACCGTGGTTATCACTAGCTTAATTTTTGTACGATCTTGCGAAATAAAAGTATAAAGGGCTCAACCACTGCACAAAACCTGGGACATTTAGTAACTATTTTCACTGATGAGATTGTAACCTAAGCTTTTACTTTCGAACAATGCTGATGTTTCAAGGTGCATAGTTATATCCATGAGTTCTTGCTGTAATTGAGAGGCAATGTCTGCATTTTCTATTTCGAAAGCCTGCAGTGTAAGAATGCAATCGAGCGAATGCATTTTTTCAACTGTTGTAAGTTAGTGAAATACTGAATATCTCTTGTCAGTGAAGCTTTAAACAGGCCTAGTTTGACTTGGAATCAGTAGTTCGACCTTGTTGGGACTTCGATATAAGCCTAATGTGTATATATGCACAGGCTGCCTGTCCTCCCGACAAAATGAATTATTAGTTATTATTAAAATCCAGATGAAATGAACTAAAATCTAACGTCCATCATTTATGAACCACCTATTGACCCCACAGACTTTTACTGACCCCACAGACTTTACTGACCCCACAGACTTTACTGACCCCACAGACTTTTACTGACCCCACAGACTTTTACTGACCCCACAGACTTTTACTGACCCCACAGACTTTACTGACCCCACAGACTTTTACTGACCCCACAGACTTTTACTAACCCCACAGACTTTACTGACCCCACAGACTTTTACTGACCCCACAGACTTTTACTGACCCCACAGACTTTTACTGACCCCACAGACTTTTACTAACCCCACAGACTTTTACTGACCCCACAGACTTTTACTAACCCCACAGACTTTTACTGACCCCACAGACTTTTACTGACCCCACAGACTTTTACTGACCCCACAGACTTTTACTGACCCCACAGACTTTTACTGACCCCACAGACTTTTACTGACCCCACAGACTTTTACTGACCCCACAGACTTTTACTGACCCCACAGACTTTTACTGATCCCCCCCTGCAGCTGTTTATCGACCACTTGGATAGCCACATTGACCGTTGAGAGTCAATATTGACCACTTTAGATATCCTGGCTGGGAAACTTGATAACCCAATGTTGAGGTTTCCTGTACCCGACCATAGGAATTCTGGGTTAAAATGAGTTAAGCGTTAAGCTTAACACCTGTACAGGTAACAGGTGTTATCCGCAGGATGCAACACATAATTACATTAACACGTATTTTTAATTAGATTCACATATTAGACGATGCATATATATACGTCTCTACATATAACCAACAACACAATTGGGTACAGAATAATTTGTGTAAAGGGGAATGGCCAATAATCACAATAGAGCACTTGGAAGGGCCACGAGGACAGAGTGAAGGAATGGTGGCCAAGCACCTATAGTCCTTGTACAGTTACAATAACATGTTTTAATTACAAAATATTATCTGGTGCTCTCTCCCATCCTGTCACTCTGGAATAAGGCAGAGAAGAACAGCATTCTGGACAGGGAACAAGGCAGACGGGAAACTGTCAAGTCAGACAGGAAACTAATCCAGCTTTTGGGAAGGTGGATTAGAGGAGTCAGGCGGCGTCTTCAAGCCTGTCTTCGGGTGTGTGGGCGAGGCAGGCGGGAGATACTAAGCCGTGTCACTACCAACACCTCTCCTCCGGACACTCTTTATTTTTCCACCTGGAAAAGAAACTGTATATTTGTCATGATATCGAATCAGATATATATTAAATTACCTACCTTCTTGTTGTGGAAGACTACTCCAATACCTAAAAAATTACGTTTTCACGCGATAGCATTAAATACTTATAACACAGTATATAAATATTTCAAAGTTAAATTTATATCCGATTCTTCCCATCGGCTGGGCTTCAGTACATGTGAGAATTCTATATTAAACCTCTCATTTACCAAGTGTGTGTTCGTCGAGCTTGAGTCAGTGGTGGAGGAGGAGGTGGAGGAGGAGACCAATGTGGAGGTCGAGGAGGAGGTCGAGGAGGAGGAGGTAGTTAAAGGCAGGAGGACCAGGTCAAACACCTCCTTCTTCCTGCTGTTGTACTCTGCCAGACGCACGATGCCGTACCTGCAGAGAGTGAGAGGAGGTAACTTGGTAATGTAGAGTGAGAGGGGTAACTAAGGAATGTAGAGTGAGAGGGGTAACTAAGGAATGTGGCATGTATTCGAATTCAATTTTAACCAAACAGTTTGGCTTTCTGTACTAAAGTAAACTGATTTTAAAATCGGATTTACTTCGAAAACTCGCATCTCGACCCTCATTTTTCTGTCATTATCATAAAAAAAAACAATCATCTACCAGAAACAGGCATCTATCAGTAACAGGCATCACACTTATCTATTAGTAACAGGCATTACAACTACCAAAGTCAGTCTTCATATCATATCAATATGAAGATTGATTTTGGTCTTATATAATCTTATATGAAATCAATCACAATCCTCGGTCGATATCAGGCATCACAATCCTCGGTCGATATCAGGCATCACAATCCTCTTATAAACAACAGGCATCACAATCATCTATCAGTAACAGGCAATATGTCATCAATTATCAAAAGATAGTGCTAAGGCCGCAACGCTATATTTAAATAATTATATCTGATAATTAAAAGATATGTGATGTAGTGTTCTGGAGAATTTAGGTGAAGTAATTCATTGCCGGGGAGGTGGCATTGACCTGCCATTAACGAGGCTTGTCTCCTCCGTCATGTCATGTGACAGGACACAACGAGGGTCATAGGGGAGGGAGCCGGTCGGCCGAGCGGACAGCACGCTGGACTTGTGATCCTGTGGTTCTGGGTTCGATCCCAGGCGCCGGCGAGAAACAATGGGCAGAGTTGCTTCCTGGGGGTGGAGGCCTGGTCGAGTACCGGGCCGCGGGGACACTAAAAAAGCCCCGAAATCATCTCAAGATAACCTCAAGATAGGGATGACCCCTGACATTCAATCAAAACGGCCTTCCCCTCCCTACAGAATCATTGGGAAGACCCGTGTCACCCTCGACTCTAAACTTACTCAATATAGTCGAAGTCAATAGAAGAGTGGCATGCCTGCAGGAAGGCCCAGACGCTCCAAAAGAGGTGAGAGGCGAGGGTGAACTTGGTAACCCAGCCTCTCCACACCTCCACTTGGTGGGGCGACACCTGCTCCGCTGGCACACCGCTGTACTCAGCCAGGTAGCTCCTGAGCCAGGTCCGCTGCGTCTCCGGACTCGGGCACAGGCTGAAGTCCGGCTTCTCCATGCCTGTCGGAGACGAGCTTCGTTACTCTCTGGTAGGTTGTGTCAGAGAGTTCGGCCACCTACAGTACGTGTCCGTCCATCCTTGTCATCGTGAGTCGCCGCCTTCACTAGGTAGTACATGCTCACTAGGTTGAACACATTCAGTAGCTTATGACACAGAAAATGTACATAATGTATGAGAGAAGTCAAGATAGCCCTCTTGAGGTCAAGCTAACCCTATGACCCCTCGTAAATAATCGGGTTAGCTTGACCTAACATGAGTGTTAGGTCAGGATAGCACCCGTCTGTTCGGATGGTCAAGATTACGCCCCCTGTCTATGTTGCAGGTCGAGATAACACCCCTGACTAGGCTACAGGTCAAGATAGCCTAATAAGAGGCTAGGATAATCTATGTTTCAGGTCGAAATAACACCCCCTGTCTATGCTGCAAGTCAAAATAACACGTAACCCCCTCCCTGTCTATGCTACAGGTGAAGATAACACCCCTGTTTACGATGCAGGTCAAGATAATAGCCTTACCCGAGTACTCGTTAAAATGGTTAGCAATATCGAAGGGCTGGTAATTGGGCCCGGCGTACTCGTAGTCGATGAAGGTGGCGGCGGCGGTGTGCTCGTCCCAGATGATGTTCCTCATGACGAGGTCGTTGTGGCAGAAGACGACGGGGCAGGCGAGGGGCACCAGGTGGGTCTCCAGCTCCTCCGTCAGCTGCAGCAGCTGCTGTTTTGTGCACCCGCTCTCCTCCACCCTGCGCAAGGTAAGTGAAGTAGATTGGTCACGGTGGTTCTTGAGAACAGCGTGGAGAGTATGCTGGCTACTCTGCTGTAAATGTTACTTCCTTGAATTGTTCACTAACTTGTAAACAACTGCGGGATCTCGTCCACAATCACATTTAGAAACTTGGGAATGAAGGCATTCAGAAAACTGTACATGATACAAGAGCTAGCGCTCTACATTTCAAGCATATTTAGGTGAGCATATTTAAATAAGTATACAAATACACACGACCTAAAAGCTGAAAAGCCTATAGAAAAATATGATTAAAGCAACAGAACCAGCCAAGAGGTTACAGAGACAGCACAAACAGCGGGAATTGGAACAGGAACGTTCCTAGTAGTAGAAAACTTCAGTTCTACAGAAATCAAGACAACAAGAGATCCCAATGTACGAAACAACATGGATAGCAAAATTAATGGAGAATTGATATAAATTGTCTTCGTACATCACATAGTGGAACCGACAAGACGACTGGATAATATTGTAAATTTTCTTGCAGGAGGAAGCCTACAGGGAGCAAAATAAACTAGAAAGGAAATCTGCGAATGATATAATTGAGTTTATAATCCAGAAATGTGCAGAGACCACAACAAATACACACCATACAAGAAAGAAACCTATTTGAAGCATACAACCAATCCATGGCTGTATGGGCGAGTAGGCAGTGATGTGAGACCTAAAGAAAAAAATTCTGTATAAATATACAAAATATTCTGTTCATAGCAGAACAGAAGAGCTATACAAAACAACACAAGACTCGTAAGAATTAGAGTTTTCGAAAATTACACAAAAGCAAAGGCAAGAGATCAACTCAAACACCATATATAGTCACGTAAGGAAAACAAGAGTGAGAGAGCAGTTCTGAGGTCGCAGGATCAGCATGGACCCAGACCTTGTGGAGTTCAGAGATATACATTAAGACTGGAGACAGGAAAGAACTCTAATACGAAGAAAGATCTTGGAAAATCATCCGGGCACAACTATAAGATATACAAACCATGGAGACTAGAACACAAGCTACATGATACTGACAGGAAAAGACAAGTGGACGCAGCCTCTTCCGATTGTCGAAAATGAGATTGAAGACGGTGAAAGATAAAGCATAAGTGTGTCATAGAAACGCACAAAAGTATTTATCCGGAGTATATATGTAGCAAAGAAATGGAAGGAGGTGGGACTTGAGGGCCCGTCCAAACAGTTGCACCAGGAATTGGATAGCGTAAATGGACTGAGGAGCTGGACTTCGCAGCCTCTCAGAGGCTGCGAAGTCCAGTTCGTAACCTCTCTCGCTCGTGAGTTCGTAACGTCTCTCACACACGGTTACGAACCTGGTCTGCGTCTTGGCGTCAGTGAAGGAGTCTGGGAGGAGAGCGAGGAACTGGCGCAGCTTGGGGAACAGCATGGCCTCCTGCTTGTCATCAATCTGCCGGACACACGCACATTAGTCACTCTTGCACTACCTGCTCATCTTCCTTTGTTAGAACTAGTGTCACTTTAGTGAATAGCGTAGACCAGCGTAACGCTAGGAAATGTTACGCTCGTGCTGCGTGCAGTCTTGTGGTTACAAGTTTAGGGGCTACCTTGTGCTACTTGCAGGGCAAAGGAAGTATCAAGGGGAAAGCGCCAAGCCATTACGACTATATAGCACTTGGAAAGGGCCAGGATAAGGATTTAGGATGGCACAAGGGGGAGGAATGGTGCCCAACCACTTGGACGGTCGGGGATTGAACGCCGACCTGCATGAAGTGAGACCGTCGATCTACCGTCTAACCCAAGTGGTTGGGCTTACTTGTGATACCTGGTGGGTCTTGCACCACTTGGAAGGGGAGTTTACTTCTGCTATTTGGAGGGTCTTAACTTAGGCCACCTGGGAGTTTACATCTACCTTGTGTCACCTGCTGTGTCAGCCGGCGCCTCACCTGTCGTGCCAGCTGGTGCCTCACCTGTCGTGCCAGCCGGCGCCTCACCTGTATCTTGTGGAAGGATGCGGCGCGGAGGGTGACGGCGCGCCAGACCGCCTCCCTGGTGACGTCCCTGAAGGTGAGGGGCTCCCCCGGAGTGAAGGCGTAACACAGGCCGTTAGTGAAGGCTGCGAACACCTTTGGTCCACACCCGGCCTCCTGCACCACCTGCACCACCACCACCACCACGGTTACTACCACCACCACCACCACCATCACCACCAGCCCAGTCACCATCACCACCAGCCCAGTCACCATCACCACCAGCCCAGTCACCATCACCACCACTACACAGCCCGTCCTCTCGAGCGTCCACGACGTCATTAAATTGATGCACTAAAGTGCCCGAACCTAACTTGACCTAATCGAGTTCCCACGAATAGAAAACGGGACATTTCGTCAATTTTGCCAACTGCTGTGATATATAGTTACGTCTGTTTTCGGCCTTAGGGGATTTATGCATCAAAATGTCATATACAGTGATTTGACTTAGATCTAAAATATAACATAAAACTAGAATCTGAAAAACTTGTGAACAATTGATCAAAATATCTGGGGAACATGTGAATAATTGATCAAAATATCTGGGGAACATGTGAATAATTGATCAAAATATCTGGGGAACATGTGAATAATTGATCAAAATATATAGGGAACATGTGAATAATTGATCAAAATATCTGGGGAACATGTGAATAATTGATCAAAATATCTGGAGAACATGTGAATAATTGATCAAAATATATAGGGAACATGTGAATAATTGATCAAAATATCTGGGGAACATGTGAATAATTGATCAAAATATCTGGGGAACATGTGAATAATTGATCAAAATATATAGGGAACATGTGAATAATTGATCAAAATATCTGGGGAACATGTGAACATTTGATCCAACTCTCTGGCTTAGTACTTTCTCCTGATAATTACTCACCTCCAGGGTAAATATTTACTGCTAGGTGAACAGAGGCATTGTGCGACAGGAAACGTGCCCAAACGTTTCTGCCTTGTCACGCACTCTTCAGGTGAGGCAAAGACAGTTGCATTTGATACGATGTGACACGTCAAGAGGACTGGCTGGATTGAAGTGTGCTTTGGCGGTGGTATACCTGAATATACCTGGGGCCACTATCTCTCTAGTGGCCTCGACGAGGACAGGAAGCCGGTGGCTTGTCAAAGGTCCTCCTCCATTTTTCTTTAATGATGATTTTATCAAGCTGGATTTCGAAGTGCATTAATATTTTGACATTTAAGGCTTCGACATGTAGGCGGTTCCATGGGCTTAAAACTATAAGGACGAAAAACATGTTTTGTGTCCTACATTGCGGCTTGTTGAGCTTGAAACCGTTGCTCCTTGTTTGTGTTACATCTGACCTTCTGGAGAAGTGGTCTGGATCAGTATCCTCCAAACTGGTCAGTATTTTAGAGGTTTTGACGAGAACAGCCTTGTCATGTCTGGTTTGCAGTGTTGTTAGCCCTGAGGGCCTCAACCTTTCTTAGTTTAAGGGTCGACTTAGTTCTGGGATGATTTTTGTCGCCTGGTATGATGGTGTGAAGCCATAGTATGTTCAGGTGTGTGTTTGTGTGTGTGTGTGTGTGTGTGTGTGTGTGTGTGTGTGTGTGTGTGTGTGTGTGTGTACTCACCTAATTGTGCTTGCGGGGGTTGAGCTTTGGCTCTTTGGTTGTGTACTCACCTAATTGTGCTTGCGGGGGTTGAGCTTTGGCTCTTTGGTTGTGTGTGTGTGTGTGTGTGTGTGTGTGTGTGTGTGTGTGTGTGTGTGTGTGTGTGTGTGTGTGTGTGTGTGTGCGTGTGTGTGTTATTACCTGCATGGTGTGAATCTCCTGTTGTCTGTCGATGAAGAGATGGGTGTTGTTGCCGTAGACTCTGACGAGGACCTGCTCGGCCTCGGCGTGGCACCACACCCCCACCAGGGTGTTCGTCACCCCCGACGTGTACCTCTGAATACAAGAACCAAACACAAACATTAACAATGAGGACCAAGCCACACACCAGAAGATAAAGAAACGACGACGGTTCGGTCCGCCCGTCGTCACACTCGACTTGATTGATAATGATCCAGGACGGACCGAAACGACATTGTATCAGTTGAACTGTAAGAACACATATGCGTAATGGAACTAGCGAGTCTAAATGGATTCAAAGAACAGCCACTCATATTACAATGATGATACTACACGGTGTATGTACAGATGAAAGAGTACAGCACTTCCTTCCACCCTGGCAGATAGTACCTTTTGACATCCTGACCCCTGCATACCCCACCAAGAAACTAATCGCAAACAACCCTCATGCTCAGCTTGCTGCTAAATTAAGCACCATAGAACACGTTCACAATATACAAGCTGAAAACAACATAGCACAGATCATATACACTGACGGATCACTCAATACAGCTACAGGGAGGGCAGGAAGTGCTGTTATTGCTCATCAGCCCGATGGCAGCACAATTCAAAGGAATGTAAGAGTTAGTAACTGGGCATCTATAATGCCAGCTGAATTGGTAGCAATACTGGTAGCACTCGAAATTATTGACAACTCTGAAGTAGACAGCTTAATTATTTCCGACTCCCTTTCCTCACTACTAACAATAAACAGTTTGCAATCAAGCAATAACGTGCTTGTCTCAGAAGCCAGACATAGATATATAAGCATCCTTAACAAGGGGGTAAATATAAAAATGTTGTGCTTTCCTTCTCACATTGGCCTGCAGGAACATGATAAAGTTGACGCCCTTGCTAAGGCTGCAGTAAATAAAGACAGTATTGAACGGAAGACGGATACATTCCAATCATTCATAAACTGGGCAAATTAAAAAATATTAACATGCGGATAACTGTAAAATGTATAAACAGGAAGAGAAAGTACACTCCCTTCCTAGAAAGAGTACTCCTTAGTACCTAGAGAGTAGACGGAGTAAGTAACAAAGAAAACGGCCATAAACGCTATGCGTGTTAGCGGCTTCAGTCATAGTATATACTAGATCTATCTAAAAATCCAACATTCTGTTTGTAAGTAACTAATTTTGTATGTATGTACTTTTATCTGATTAAAGATCATTATTATCATTATCATTCATCATGAGGGAAGAGACGTGGAGGTGGAGACTAGTAGCAAGCAGAGGCCCTCAAGGATCAGTACTGGATTCCCGCGATGTTCTTCATAAACCCGTACCACCTTCTGCCAGAGATCTCATCCTTCCTCTCAGTATTTGTCAACAATTTACGTATGTTAAACAAATGGGAAGAACGGCTGCAAGAAGATATGGAGAAGTTACATAAATGGTCCGACGAGTGATTGAAAGAGTTGAGTGGGATGAGAGGAGGAACAAATGAGGATGAGAGGCGAGGAGGCCGGTGGTGCCGTACCAACTGAGAAGGAAGCAACTCATGAAGTCAAAAAGGAACATGACCTTGCAGGCCTTGCAGTCGATGCTGCATTCAACTTCTCGACGAAGGGACTCATAAACGGCATTACTTCAGCTATGTATGCATGAATGACACCAATAATAACATACACGACGGCCAAGACCGTCAGTAGTTTCAAAGCGTTATATGACAAAGAGTGCTGGAAAGACGGGACACCACGAGCGTAGCTCTCATCCTGTAACTACACTTAGGTAACTACACTTAGGTAATTACACCAGTAGACTCAAAAGGAAATCGCTCAGATGATCATTATACGTCATGTACGTGAGACCAATATTGGCGTATGCGGCGCCAGCATGTAGCCCTGGCTTTCTCAAACATATTAAACAAACACAGAATCAGAGATTTGCCACAAGGATAAGACCTGAGTTATATATATACCCTGAACATGAGTCTTAAACTATGACGACTACAAGAATAGGATGAGGCTTCTCTCCTCTTAACACACTAGAGGAGAGAAGAAATTTTGAGGTATGATCACAACATACAAGATACTGAAGGTAACAGACACGATGGACAATGATAGCCTGTTTAAATTGAGAAAAAGTAGGACAAGAGGACATAGGTCGAAGCTGGAAACGCAAATGTATACATGCCATAAAGTACTCGTACCCTGCACGGGCGGTCAACAGGTGGAATGTACTGAAAGAAGTTGTGGAAGCCACCTCCACCCACAACGTTAAGGCCAGACTCGAGAAAGAAAGTTTAGCAATATCATAATGTATCAGGCAAAATAAGGCTAGTAGTCGGGGCATGCAGTGCTAGATCTTTCCCTGAGTCACTAATAGGCTTCGTGAAAGGGGAGGGGGGGAGCTAGTGGAGGGCAGCGAGGGGGTGGCAAGCACTGTGAGGGGAAGCTAGTGAAGGGGCAAGCACTAGGAGTACACATATATATACATTAACCTGAAGTACAAGCTGTGGGGTGTGGAGGCAGCTTACCTTGAAGTGGAGGGTGTGGAGGCATCTTACCTTGAAGTGGAAGGTGTGGAGGCAACTAACCTTGAAGTGGAAGGTGTGGAGGCAGCTTACCTTGAAGTGGAAGGTGTGGAGGCAGCTTACCTTGAAGTGGAAGGTGTGGAGGCAGCTTACCTTGAAGTGTAGGGTGTGGAGTAGCCAGTGTGGGCGGACGTGTGCGAGGACCTGCCTGGCGCCGGCCTCCAGCCCGCCCTCCGTCGCCCCGTCCACCACCACCGCCAGGGTCACCACCATCTGACACACCCAACAAATTACTTCCCTTGCATCACTTTCGTCAATATCCCCCGCCCCTAATTACCAGTCCAGGAAAGAAGAGTGTGTGTGTTAGCGTGAGGAAGGTGAGATACATGTACGTGTGAAGCAGTCACCAGGCATACCTATAGCTGCTTCACGGGTCCACCTTTGTTCGTTGCTCTAGGATCACCTAGAAACAAAGAGCAGAGCTGCCATGCAAGTTTGTAGTTTAGATAGTTTTCATTACCATGATCCTGGACGCCTCATCGAGGCCACTAGAGATATAGCGGCCCCTCTCGTTAAATTCAGGTAAATCAGTTACACAATCACTCATTAAGTTGTCAAAAGTTGTGTTAAACCGTGCGATGAGAGCGGCAGTGGTGGGAGCAGGATACAATCACGGCGGCAACGTTTGCATTTATTAAAGGGTTTATGAGTCCCGAAGCGCTACAAGGTCGTCGAGAGCAACCTCGGGGCGAGACCGTCCTCGTAGCGCTGCCCGGCTCGTAAACTGTTGAATAAACATAGACTAAGCCGCCATGATGGAGGAAAGATGCACAAGTATCGCAAGTGAACACGTAAATGCTTGGCGAGTCCTGGCGGAGAGCGGGGCACGACGCGCCTGACACAACAGCAAGTCCCACACCTTAATCTTCCCTCAAGGAGCACAAAATAATTCCACGCGAAGAAAACAGTTGCGAATATATCACTTGGGAAAGAGGTAGAATGAGGAGGTGACTGGAGAGGAGGAGGAAGAGGATATGAGGAGGTGTGGTAGCGGAGTGAGGAGCGCCGTCCGTGAGTGCCTCTCTCCCTCTTAACACAACCAGGCCAGGCGAGCCCTACAGTATACCACAGGAAGGACCTCCCTCCACCTTCACCACCTCCCCCGGCATGGTCTCTCTGCTGGGGGAAGTCTGGCACCCTTCCCTTCCTCCCTCCCCTACTCTTCCTTCCTCCCTCCACCCATCAGTCTCTTCCTCCCTCCCAGCATAAGTTCACCTTATACCTTATACCACATTTGCTCATTAGGCTCGTTCTCCCTTCTAGCAGATGAGAAACTAGGTAGACGTGGCAATTGTACTGTCCTGTTGCTCTGACCAGGGTGCTGGTCTCTTCCTGTGCCAGCCCCGAGGCACACACGCACGCACGCACACACACACGCACGCACATGATTTCTATGATAGAGCCACAATTTTACAGGACGAGATGGTTGGGTTGACTGCATCTATCTAGACTTAAAAAAACGCTTTTCGACAGTCCCACACAAGAGGTTGTTTTGGAAGCTGGAACATACGGCAGGAAGGAAGGAATTATCAGGGGGAAAGCGCCATGCGACTATAAAGCACTTGGAATTAAAGGGATCTGGGATGGGACGGGGGGAAGGAATGGTGTCCAACTATTTGGACGGTTGGAGGTTGAACGCCGACCTGCATGAAGCGAGACCGTTGCTCTACCTTCCAACTCAAGTGGTTGGGCACCACATACTGGAGGAGTGACAAGTAGGCTTCTAACATGGATGAAAAATTTACTAACTGGCAGGAAAATGAGGACAGTAAGCTGATTATCTGACTGGAGAAATGTCACGAGTGGTTCAGTTCTTACACCGGTAATGTTCATTGTCTCCATAAACGACCTACTAGAAGGAATACACAATTATATAAACAGGTTTGCTGATGATGCTAAGATACTGGGGAAGATAAGAAATTTAGACGATTATCATGCCCTTCAAAAAAAAACACAACAAAAGTGAAAGGATTCCATTTGGCAGATGGAATTTAATGCGAATAAATGCCATATTATGGGATGTGGAATAGGAAAAAATAGACCACACACAGCCTACAAATTATGTGAAAAAGTATGATAAAGAAAGAGATTTAGGAGTGGTTCTAGATAGAAAACGATCACCTGAGGACCACATAAGGAATATTGTACGAGGAGGCTATGCTACACTTTCCAATTTCAAAACTGCTTTTACATTCATGGATGGTGAAATACCAAAGAAATTGTTCACAATCATTGTTAAACCAAAGTTAGAATATCCTTTATGGAATATATGATTAAGGAATATGGTACCCATTTCTTAAGAAGCACATCAACAAACTGCAAAAGGTGCAAAGACATGCAACTTTATGACTCCCGGAACTGAAGGACAAAAGCTACGAGGAAAGGTTAGGGGCATTAAATATGCCCAAACTAGAAAATAGAAGAAAAAGAGGTGATATGATCACTACGTACAAAATAGTAACGGGAATCTACAAAATTGATAGGGAAGAGAACAAGTGGTCATATATTTAAACTAACTAAAACGAAGCTGCAGAAGAAATGTAAGAAAATTCACTTTCACAGAGTAGTAGACGGTTGGAACAAGTTAGGTGAGAAGGTGGTGGAGGCCAAGACCGTCAGTAGTTTCAGAGCGTTATATGACAGAGTGCAGGGAAGACGGGACACCACGAGCGTATAGCTCTCATCCTGTAACTACACTCAGGATGCTTTGTGTGTTCGTAATTACCTATGTAAACTACTCGAAAGAAAGAATAATAACGAGAAGACACCAAGAAAGGACTGTACATGTAAATACACATCAACATGGCTCTAGGAAACCGAAATCATGCCTAACTATCTTACTGGAGTTCTTTGATACCGTAATTAAAATAAAACAGAGCAGAGAAGGATAGATAAAGTGTGCAGACTGATTGTGATTAATGATGCAAAAAATCCAGTAAGGCCTGACAAAGACCTTTTTGCGTAGTCTGTAATCCTTTTTTGCGCTACTGCTCACAGGATGAGTATGGGGCGCACAATAAACTAGCCGCCTCCGGGATTTTTGTTCAGCCTGTGGAAAAAAATCACACATAAGATATATACAATAATATAAGATATAATATTATAATTTGGCATAGTCAAACATGTTTGTTTAAAACTTTTAAAATACCAAATTGGTGTTGGAGGGTTGGGTCTGGTGTTGAAGCAGAGGACCTAGTGTTGGAGCAGGGGGCTGGTGTTGGAGCAGGGGGCTGGTGTTGGAGGAAAGGGGCGGGTGTTGGAGGAAAGGGGCTGGTGTTGGAATAGAGGGCTGGTGTTGGAGCAGAGGGGCTGGTGTTGGAGTAGAGGGCTGGTGTTGGAGTAGAGGGCTGGTGTTGGAGTAGAGGGCTGGTGTTGGAGCAGAGGGCTGGTGTTGGAGTAGAGGGCTGGTGTTGGAGTAGAGGGCTGGTGTTGGAGCAGAGGGCTGGTGTTGGAACAGGGGGCTGGTGTTGGAACAGAGGTCTGGTGTTGGAGCAGAGGGCTGGTGTTGGAGTAGAGGGCTGGTGTTGGAGCAGAGGGGCTGGTGTTGGAGCAGAGGGGCTGGTGTTGGAACAGGGGGCTGGTGTTGGAACAAAGGGCTTGTGTTGGAGGAGAGGGGCTGGTGTTGGAGCAGGGAGCTGGTGGTGCGTGTTGGTGCTCGTGGCCGTTCACTTCTGACACTGGCTTCCTCCTTGAATGCGGCCCGCGCCCCCTACCCCCTCCACCTGGATGCCATGTGCCTCCAGCATAGATTACAGCATAGATTACAACATAAATTACAGCATAGATTACTAAAGGATGTTTGGCTTGCATGCACGTGCTATTTCTATAACTTGGTTGACCCATCTGCGGATTATATCAGTGTTGCTCGCTCCATTTGAATCTGCAACCTCAATCACCGTTTAGAAAACTATATCTGGGAAAGTTTTGAAGGTAATTAAATATTTGCCTGAAAATCTTATTTCAACTTGAAATGCTTACCGGCTTCAGGAATGCTTTTCCAATATTACAGGGCCTCAGGGCTAACAATACTGCAAGCATAAAAGGCCCGATTTCATCGAAACATTTAAAATACTGAACAATTTGGAGGATGCTGATCCATACTTCTTAATTTGGTCAGATGTAACGGAAACAAAGAGTATCGGTCTCAATTAAGCTCAATAAGCCATGGTGTAAAACTGAAAACGGGGGATGCTTTTTCACCCACAGGATTTTAAACCCATGGAACTACCTACCCGCCGAAGCTGTAAATGCCAAAACTGCTGAATTGTAAAATCCCGCTTGAAAAAATCATCAGGACAAATCGGGGCACCTTAGGCAAGCCGTCGGCTTCGTGTCCTCATCAAGGCCACTAGTATTAGGGCTACTTGAAGGGCCCCTAATACTTCCTAATAATTCACGTGAGGGCCCACTAGTATTAGTGGCCCCTCGCGTGAAAATCAGGTACATAAGAGGAAAATAGGTCGGAACCCCACATTTCTAACCGCACAAGGACGGGATCCAAGAGCTAACAGCTTCGATCCTGCAGGGGTAAATACACACATGGAGTATGTATACTATACAACTTCACCGTTGTAATCACTGCCATCATCTTACATCTTGGTTGTTATGTTGAACGCAAATGTGACTACAATGTACCTAGAAACAATCCTCAAATTATGCCACAATGTACCTGTTGATAATCTTCAAATTATGCCACAATGTACCTGTTGATAATCTTCAAATTATGCCACAATGTATCTGCTGACACTCTTCAAATTATGCCTCAATGTGTCTGATGATAATCCTCAAATTTTATTATAATGTACCCACTAATTTTCTTCAAATTTTCTTACAATGTACCTGTTAACATTTTCTATTTTGTTACAAATTACCTACTTAAAATTATCTGTTAGATTAAGGACTTGTCCGAAACTTTATGCGTGTTAGTGACTTTACAAGAGTATAAAAACATCATTGCTATGCACTCTTATAAACCCAACGTACCTTCTTGTATATAAATATATGTCTGTCTGTCAAAAGTTGTACACCAGGCACTTAAATTGGGGCTAGCCTCACCCAGATTTGCAGGGGTAATAGTCTGGAGTACGGGACGGACATAGGCTCGTAGGGTAGGCTTAAGTTAAATGATTTAGGAAATATCAGCCTGTAACCTAGCCTACCACGTTCGATTTTAAATGAGGTCTGAAATAAAATCGGAATGTGATTTCCGTAGAGTTCACAGCGCACTTTCATGAGTTCCTCTAAATCTAAAAGATGAAGTGAACCCATTCGGGTGACAGTGATGAAGGTAGTGAGTAGTGAAGATGGTTATGTTGATGAAAATAGTACTATGGTGAAGAAAATATGTAGTAAAGATGATAAATGAGGGGAGAGGAGAGGGGACAAGGGGACGGTAAATTGATAGATAGATAGATAGATAGATAGATAGATAGATAAATAGATAGATAGATAGATAGATAGATAGATAGATAGATAGATAGATAGATAGATAGATAGATAGATAGATAGATAGATAAGTAGATAGATAGATAGATATAGAGGGGTCCCAGTAGCACAGTCGCGTTCGTTCTCGACGCACAATCGAGAATTTCGGGTTCTAATCCCGCCGGGCGAGGCAGAATTGTCGGGTACATTTCCTTTCACCTTATTTATTTATTTATATACAAGAAGGTACATTGGGTTTGTGAGGATACATAGCCTGGTAATTACATTCTTGTAAAGCCACTAGCACGCGCAGCGTTTCGGGCAGGTTCTTATTCTAACAGATAATTTTTAGTAGGTAAATTCTAGCAAAACTTATAAAATGATAACAGGTACATTGTAAGGAAAAAATGAGAGAGATCAGTAGGTATATTAAAGCATATCGGTAATGTGCACTAATGTGCCTGTTCACCTAGCAGTAAGGGAAAGGAACTATCAGGAGAAAGCGCCAAGCCATTGCGACTATATAGCACTTGGAAAGGATCAGGATAAGGATTGGGCTTGGACGGGGGGGGGGGGGAGGAATGGTGCCCAACCACTTGGACGGTTGAGGATTGAACGCCGACTTGCATATGAAGCGAGACCCTCGCTCTAGCGTTCAGCATAATTGGTTGGAGTAGGTACTTAGGAGTTAGTCAGCTTGTTGGGAGGTTACTTCCTAGGCGGGGTCAGTAATTTGACCTTGGGGGAATATCGATAAAAGGCAAACGTGTATAGATACACTCTGGCGTCCTGTCCCCCGACACAATGAATTATAATTATACAGTTTTTACTTAGGCCATGGAAAACAACCACCTTAATAATTGTTGCTTTCGTTGTTCTTCATGGCTATTAGTGCTGATTCTATTGCAAGTTTTCCTTTAGCTAATTTATGAAGCAGTTTTGGAGGTGAAAATAAGTGATAAATATGCTAATTTAAGTGAGGTCACAAAATATTGGAATGCGTAGTTGAGTGTATTATCACGTTTCACGGGAGTGGCTAGCCATTAGATTATAAACATTTACACATGCAAATTATAATACAAAATATTAAAATCTGTCACAATAATGGAAGAGTTTGTTGATGAGTGAGATGTGAAGGTAGAGGTAGTAAGGGAGGCTCGGTGAAGATAACGCCAGCTGTAAACATCGATCCAGGTGTTGAGGGAGTCCACGCCCGCAGCCCCCTCGTCATGTCCCACACACTCCCTGTTTAAGGTGAACCTTTGCCCTTGTCTCTGTGTTAAGTGGCTCCTGGAGGAGGCCCACATGGTGAGGTGTGAGGGTCACACACGGGGAAGATGATGGTGGGGGGCGCTTCTGCGCCTATATGCTTCAGTTTGTGTTGTCTGTCACGCTGGCTTGTCCTTGTATATATATTTTGTTTATGTGGTTCGATGGCACCATTGGCAAGCAGGTGTTTTAAGTGTATCTGGGTAATACAGCCTGGTTTAGTTCTATGTTAAGCTGAATTATATTCAGTAACTAGTGTCGACCAGGTTGTTGACTTGTTGGTCAGTGTGTAACTTGGAGGCCTTGATGGGGCAGGAGTCTGGTGTGGCTGGGGGCTTACATGATGGTGGGGTTGTTATTAAGGGTATTGATGGGACTATGTCGTGTGTGTCCTGCCAATCTGAATTTGGAGAAGACAATGAGAGTATAGCCCCTTAGTGGAGAAATGTCAGTGGGAGGTTGAGTCACAGTTCGTAATCTAACAGACGTCGATATAGTCCTGTAGAGAAACGTATAGTGGTATTAGTAGAGGAATGTAACAGTCAGCAGGGCTGAAAAGTCCATTTTTTTTTTTGGTGATTTGGCATGGAATGACCAACATTGTGTATCTTCTTCGCAATACAACATTGTGTATCAGATCGAGTGTTGTTCTTGGTTACCTCACCGTGCTGTGGTTCCAGGGTTCAAGGTCCCCGTGGCCTGGTCTCTGACCAGGCCTCTTGGTTGATGGTCTGGTATGAATCACAACCTGGTTGATCAGGTATCCTTTGGTGGTGGTTTATCGCTTTCTCTCTTGAACATAACATCAGGCCTCTGATGTTGATACTGTAGTTTCCTCTCGAGTACCTATTGCACCTCTGCTTTTCAACGGGGGTATTCTGCACATCCTGCTATACCTTCTGGTTACATGTGATGTTACTTCTGTGTGCAGATTTGGGACCAGCCCCTCTTAATATTTTCTACATGTAAATTATTATGTATTTCTCCCTGCACTCTAAGAGTATTCAGATTTAAGCATTTTAGTCAGTCCCATTAATTTAGATGGTTTGTTGAGTGGATTCTGGAAGTGAAGGATCTCTGCACACTCTCCAGGTCAGCAATTTCTCCAGCTTTGAAAGGAGCTGTTATTGTAAAATAGTATTTCACTCTTAAAGAGCACTAGCATTTTGAAAAGTAGCATCACTGGTATGGCATTTCTTGTTGGAAAGGTTCCTGTTATCCAACCTGTCATTTTTCTTCCAGTTGTGGCTACTTTATTGTATTCTTTTTAAAGTAAGGTTTTCTGCCATGATTACACCGAAATGCTTTATACTGCTGCTTTTATGTTTTATGATATGATTTGACTGTTTTGTATGTGGTTTGTGTGTTTATATTTTCATTTGTTCCATAATATGTGAGCTGGAACTTGTCTTCATTAAATACCATATTATTTTCTGTGGCCCATTGAAAGACCTGATTTGGTACCCGAAGAGAAAATATAATAATGGAGAGCTAGATTTTAACAGAATTCTGTTCATTTAGAAACTACCTGGAAAAACGACTCCCAATGTCTATCATATGTATATTGTTATAGGCATCTTTACATATATACATTCATACTCTTCAGTGTGGTCCAAAGTCCTGTGTATACTATGTATTGTTATTAGTGTTCTTAGTAGTAGTAGAGTTTGCTCTATGCAGTACAGTATATGGAAAGAGGTAGGAAAGGGTCTTGGCACTTTGAATAAGATGGTGTCTGATGCTGACATGGCCTAGAGTTAGTGGGTCTTGGTCACCTCATAGTGAGCACATGGGCTTAGTGGGCGACTCTTACACTGCCAGAGGTCACTAGATTTTGATGCATTTTTCTCAATTGGGTTTAGAATTTGCCATTAGGCTTCAACTTTGTTTGGCTACCCAGAGTTTGCAAGATGACTGACACCTCTATTATCTGGGGTCACTGGGTGTCAATAGTCTTTTAGTTGGTTCTCTGTGTGAGGTGTGGGTCTTACTTGGGAGGGGAAGAGGGGGGGGGCATCAAGCACCACCTTGAATCATGTTTAAATATGACCTATGTCTTTCATTAATTCTTGGTATTGATTTGCCTGTTTACATATCATAGTGTTTAGCTATTAGAGGTGACTAAAGTTTTTTTATAAAAATGATGAGAATATCGCTAAGTATTGGTTTTGTCATGACTGATGAATTCCCTTATAAAGGTTCAAGGGTTGACTTTGTGATAGTATCCTCTCCAAGTACAGCATTAGAATAAATAAAATCACTACCTAGTAAAATAGGGCTCTGTGGTTTTCATACATAAAGGAAGTCCCTATAAACTCTGATCTCTCTCTTTGCTCTCTTTTTCTTACTCTGATAATCACTTTAGTCATGTTAATTCAAGAGAAGTATGCTCTAATACAGGCAAGTGGACATTCTCACTGCCAACAAAATTGTATGGGGGCAGCCTATACATGCTAGCCCAGTATCCAACCTGATTGTACACACCACTTAAAATATTTAAAAGGAAAATTAAAAGAAAAATTAACCTAATATAACAATCAGAAGCAGCATCATGGCGCTGCTTTACTTTCAACTACTATTTTAAAATAATGATCCTTACAGTAGTACAAGAGGTTTCTGCTCCCCAAGGGTCTGAGTTTCACTTGTTGTCATACTTGAGGGATTACAATATAAACCAATCTGAATAGCTTAAGGGTATAAAACCAGTGAAATCCTAGTCAAGCAAAGCACTTCCAAAAGTCTGTTCCTCAAGAATCCAGTGCATACACACAAGTGTGAGCACTGAAGGATTAGAGAATTTTTCACCTTGTGGCCACTAGGTTGCTAGAGAGCTCTATTGACTAGAGGCAACATTAATAAATAATCAGACTTGTGTTTGTCAAATCCAGAAGTGTCAAAGGAAAGTGTCGGAAGCTTGGTGCAGAATGAACCAATTTTCTTTCTTTTAATGGCATGAGCCACAAGCATGGCTTAAAAATGGTTGCACCTTATATTATAGTACAACTTTTTTCTTGCTAGATATCCTACACTGTTTGATTTTTTTGTGTGTACCCTACCATAGTTCTGTATTAGTTTAATTGAATCTGTATACACACTTATTCACTATAAGGATACTATGTTGTTAACTATTTTACTTACAATTTCAGTTCATAAATCCACAATGACTGCTGTGGGTTCCCCGCTGTTATGGCAGGGGAACATGGGCGGAGTCACTCTCCGCCCACAGCCCCGTCTGGATGTAAAATGGCTCAAATCAGATTTACAAAGCCTTCTGCAGCCTGATAATCTACCATCATTGTACAACCAGATGGTAAAGGATGGAGAAGTTGCTGGGCCTCATGTTGAAGGCATTCTTAACTCTGCTGGTGTTACTGCACGGAAAGGTAAGTGCTTGCCTACTTTATACAACTAAATTGTTTCCCTTCTATCTCAGTTTGTATGGAACACTAAATTTAATAGAACAAGTTATTAATATTAATTTGGAAATATAAATACAGTCGTCTACTCTATTATGCTCTTATGCATTGACAAATATTTGTTTAGTTTGCTGTGAAGTTGGTAAAGTCGGCATTAATCTAGATGTACAATACAGTACAGTACAGTACCAGTACTTATAAAAAAAGAGCTACCACTTATTATTTGTTGTTTACTAAATATGAGACTGGCTAACTAGAATTGTTTGAGTAATTGCCTCAAACTATAAAGTTTGGTACAGTATTGCCATAATAGAAAAATAGGGCAACAAATATTCAGGAAAATTCAATCATTCATATTCCATAGTAATTTGAAATGTAAAATTTAATATAATTACTGTACAGTACTGGAAAATTTGTTCTTGGTGTTTAATTAAGTATTTCTGTTTAGGGGAAAGTGGACACTACTATTGCAGTATGCGAGTATTGACGTGTCCTTGTTGTGATGGTATCTGTGGGCCACAAAGTGGTTGCAATTGTGGACCTTGTCAAAAGCTTGATCGAGAGGAGGCTGAACGAGAACTAGAAAGTGGACAAGGAGCATCTCCTCCCTCATCTTCACTCCTGGAGGGTTGGACATGGGGGCCACAACCAGAAGAAAAAGATTTGAAGAAATGTCTTGATGCACTTGTCAAGGAGCAGCGGCTGACATGTTTAGATGCAGCATCTACTACACTTTCTGCTAGCCGTCTTCAGCAACGCTTCATGGTGGCTCATAGGTACTCTTGCAGTCACTAACTAAAATGTATTATAATGATTAATGGTAAATTTATTGAGAGCATGCTTTTTTCTTAAAAGCATTGAACGCAAGAAGATATACTGGTACCTGTACATATACTGTAGCTGAATACGCTTAGGATGGTGATGGCAAAATATAAATTGCTAAGGATCTGGAATGTCGGATAAATTTTATAAATCAAATGTATTTTGTAATACATAATGCATTATCATTTTCAGATACCTTGTTGCACTCAAGCGAGCTAGGCCACCAGAAGTAAAATCCAGCGAGACTGTAGGCAAGAAAAAAGCTCAGATGCCAAATGTGTGGGGTGAAGGAAGGGTTGGCAGAGGAGCTGGAGCAGAACGGGCAACTCTTGGATTAGCTAGAGTTGGATCAAGGGCAGCACTCAATTTTGCTTTTGCTTTCTTAAGAAGGGCATGGAGATCAGGGGAAGATGCTGATCTCTGTACAGAACTATTGCAGGTAACTCTCACTTCTTTATTTCGAACTACATTATTTCTTGTCTCTTTTATACCAAAACACAAGGTAATATAAACTTAGCAATGCAATACAACTTGTCAAAATTTAGTTTTTAACTTAATTAAAGAATGTGATAACCAAATTATTTAGCACAATTGGTGCTAAGGTATTATACATTGGAAAACAATAATTACTGGTTTGTTTCAAGGAGAGGAATATGAAAAAATATTATGGGCTTTTTAACTGTTATCTTCCTTCATCTTGTTGGGCGAATAGAGATGTTTTAGTAGTCCATGTCATGATTGGTCGTGATTTTAGTTTTTTATGGTGCCAGCTTTTATAATATTACTTCTTAATTTTTTGTAATTTTTTAATTAAGTTTTTAATATTATACCAATAAATATATTATCTATTGATTTTGTCCTCTTTGGTAGTAATTCATTGAAACTGGCTGACAACCCAATGTGTGTAGGTAAATTTGAAAGCATGCACAATAATATTGAGTTACGGATATTAAATGAATATTCCCAAACAATTCTTTTATAAAAATTTGCTTTGAGTACATGATAAAACAATTAAAATTTCTTAAGACTTAAAATTTAATAGCTCTAGCTGAATTTAGCTCAATTATTCAGGCTAAACTTCAGCATTAGAAATAAGAACATATACAAAATTCCTTTTTTCTTAGGAATCCCTTGAGGCTTTGGAAACACTTCCTGAAGCAACGTTGTTTGACGAGTCTAGTGTGTCATCGGTATGGCTTGATGTTGTTGAACGGTCACAAAAATTCCTCACATCCGTTGTTCTCAGCCAGGTTCCTGGAGGTAAGTTGGCAGCTTTGTAATTAATTATTTAGTGTTTTCCATAAGTATGTAATCCTTATTCCTCCTCCTTCGAGTCTAGTGTGTCATCGGTATGGCTTGATGTTGTTGAACGGTCACAAAAATTCCTCACATCCGTTGTTCTCAGCCAGGTTCCTGGAGGTAAGTTGGCAGCTTTGTAATTAATTATTTAGTGTTTTCCATAAGTATGTAATCCTTATTCCTCCTCCTTCCTGCAATTTCCCACCTTCTCCTCCCTATTATTTACCCCATCCTCTACCTGTCTCCCTCTTCTTTCCCTCTCCCTTCTTATTCCTCCTTCCTTCCCTGAATTATTTAATTATCTTTCATTAACAAAGCCACTCACTTTACCTTGTTTTTAGGTATTCAGTCTTTAATTGCAGATAATTGAGGTGGACAGTTGGATCCTATGCCTTGTTGGAAATAATATTGACCTAGCCTCAAATTAAGTTATAAAATTAGCTATCCTTCACTAGGGCTAGGTTTTCCACAGGAAATAACTTGACATGTTTTGTGGTTAGGATCAGGCGGGAGCAGCATGACACGTGTGCCGCTGGGAGACCGACACATGGCACTCTCTCTCCTGCTTCACCTGGCCCTACAGCGAGCTACTTTGTCAACTTTACTGACCGTCATTACACTCCTACTGCAGCTGTGGGACTCGGGCAGAAATCAGGTATAGATTGCTTTGGGATGTTGTGTGGCTCAGTGATCGAGTGCATGATGATTACAGTACCCTGATAGTCAGCATTACAATAGGGTGCAGTTTCTGGTTCATGGCCACTACTGATATTTTAAAAAGTATTGTATTAATGCCAAGACTTAGACCACTGAGACTGAAGCCAATACAGACTTATTAGATGATATGAATACTCTGATACTTTAGAAGGATCTGATACTGATACATAACATTGGTTTTAGATGTTAGAACTTACCAAACATAAATGATGACATACATAAGTCAACAAAATGAAACTGACAAATGGATTCCCCCAACAGGGATGTCCGATTAGTGACTCGGAAGATAAATACTGTACATACCTGCTTCGGATAGCTGTCCAGTCTAGGGGAGTGGTTCGGGCAAGATGCCTAGGAGCCATATTAGTAGGCTACCATAAGTCATCAGTAGTCAAGTCAAGCAGGCAGTTTGCAAAATTGAAGATGAGATGACATGTTTATCATTCATTATTTCATTGATTACAATACTTTGTTTTGACAGGTGGATAACCGTGTCAGCAGCCATGGAACCAGTGCTCCTCTTCTGCCTGTTCTTCATAGGTTTGGGGCTATTCCTCTCCTGAAGTCTCAGTCATCCTCCAGTGCTGTTTTGGATGAAAGTACTCCAATAGAAGTATGCAATTGCTTAAAGTTTTTCTCCATAATTTTGTTATTCTGGTAATATATAATATTAATTCCATTATCTATCACATCATAATTCATCTTGATAAAATATTCAAAATTTGATGGTTCCTTTGAACTTAAAGACATTTTATTATGACTATTTCAAGAATTTCACCTCTGCACTTCAAGACATTTTATAATAAATTTATTAATTATTACTAATTTTATTAGTGCACAAATTTAAACAATTCTTAACATTTTCTGCTGGTATTCACTACTGTACATTGCTTTTGTTTTTGAAACGGCAGATAACATTCCATGAAAATGTTTGTTTCAGATTGCAAATGGCCAGGTCAGAAATCCTGTGGTAATTATTTTGTTTATTATATGACCCAGCTACACTATTTTGG